CAGCCTGAGGTTCAGGGACCAGCATAAGGAGGGAGCCACTGGGTATTCTTGCCCTCTCCCTGCTTCACTCTCCTGATCACCCACACCTTCTGGCTGCCCTAAAGCTCGGGGGAGGAGGGTTTACAGGAGAAGAAGGCAAATGACTTCCTTTACTTTTTTAAGAGTTTTGTTTGTAATACAGCAAACCCCTGAATAAAGTCATTTTGTTATAATGTTGATGAGATGCTGTAGGAACTCAACTCTCATTTGTATCAGTTTACCTATGGTAAAATTGGTTTCATTGTACATTGCTTCTCTGCAGGTCCAAGAACCTATAGACAACTTAAGTAAGGACTTACTATACACTCTCTTGGCTCTCAAATATCCTTTGTTATGGCAAGAATCCAACTGCTAGCTCTTGTGTAGGGCATTTTATGGGTTCTTCAGAGAACCCTGTAGAAAATCTCTACAGTGTCCCTGATGTGGCATTTGGATTTTTTGGTTGACCTCTTAGAGTCCTTCTCAGCCCCTGCCCAGTCATTCACATCTTGGAGCAGCGTCCTGGAGCAATGTCACCCAGACTGCCTTCCTCAGCATCCATTTAGGCAATGGAAAGCTCACCACCCTTGTCCAGGAAAAGGCAAAAGTGCAGGTGTTGCGACCATGCCCTACTCCAGCCCTCCCACCACTGCAGGCTACTGAAGTGGTGGTCAGGGACTCACCTCTTATGTTTTTCAAGAACTTTCTTGGGTACTGTCCTGGTGGCAGCAGGACTGGCCAGGAGTTTCTGCAGCTCAGCAGGGGCAGGGTGTTGTGTTTCAGATGGTGGTCTTCTCTTTTGGGAAAAACTCCAATTTTTGAGTGGTTGTCTTGAGGTCTATATCCACCCCATTCCAACTGTTATGAATTCCCTTTCAGGAATCCTCCCTAATGAATCTCTGTGCTTCTCTCATGCATGCTGTTGGGTGTGAAGGCTGACCAGTTTGGCTACTTCTTAGCAGCATCATGGGGCATATATCACCCATGAGACTTGGCTTAGAGGCTGTATTCAAAATTCTGGGCAGTAGAATAGTCCACTCCACATTCTATAAATGTGAATGAGGTGGTAAAAAGAACAACTGGCTTAAAAAGTAACCCATCAGCTAGTAGAGTAGAAAGTGAACTCGGTTCCTTTCAGTTCCTCTCAGTTCCATGTCAGAGTTCAGTGACTGCAAATATTCTCCGGGCTCTTCATTTCCTACTGTCCTCACCCTGGCTGCCAAAACACATATGCTATCCAGAAGCCCATTAAACCATCTCTGACTTCCTTCCCATCCCAGAATGTGTCTAGCCCACACCGGGGCCTTTTCCCCAAGAGCCTGCATCAGAGGCTCAGAAGGGTAACAGATCAGTATTTTATTAAGAACCTTCTGGAATGCCTTATCTGCCAATGGTGACGTTTTCAGATTCAAAGGGGAGTCTGTTGGAGAAGATAACACAGAACATTCCAAATTCTAACTGCATCAAATTTGATGAACCCCTAAGTTATTTTCTTACAGTGCCTTGCACACAAGAAAAGCTTTTGTCTTGAAATTTTGATTGATGTTCTTCTCTATTTCTAATACATATGACAACAGACCTCTCCATGTGTAACCACAATAAAGAAATGTTTTTAATGTTAAAGTAATTTGCCACAAATAGATGAGAAAAGGCTGAGTTGAAGGTAAGATTTAATTATTTCTATTTTTATGTCTCATTATTTCCCCTACAAAGCTGGTAGATAAAAACAGTGGTCATTTTAGACGAAAGGCATTTTTTTTTTTCTTCAGAGTCTCTCTAAAATTGGCTTCTGGCCAGAATTCAAATTGCATTCCCCTCTGGAGAATGGCATACTGTTGGCCACTTGGGAATCAATCAACAGTTCCTGCTCAACCCCCATTTAAAAAAATGCCTTTTTGTCTTTTATAAGGAGAGTTAGGTAAACAGACTATTTTCTTAAATCTTTGGTTTGTGTTTTTTTCCCCCAGAGGAAGGCATAATCACATGCTGATGAAAAATATCAGCACCTGCAAACCTGGGATTAGGATGGGGGCTGTAAGCCACCAGCAGGCACAGGTGAACCACCTGGCAACAAAGGCCCTGTTTAAACCTCAACAAAGGAAAAAAGGGCAAGATTTTTCTTTCTGGATCTTTGGTGTTTCCTTCTGCTTTGGTGCTAGTTTTTACCAGGATCTAGTGGATTGTCTTGACCATGCATCCCCATGAAGCCACAGGATGGGGTGGCAAAAGACTGCCACGGCCTCAAAACCTGTGTTCAAGGTCAGACTGGCTAATTACTCGCCACGGGCATGTTGCCTAAATTCTCTGAATATCTATTTCTTTGTTAGAAGAAAAATCTGTTCTCCCAACCTCAAAAAAGCTCACAATGTGTTAAATAAATCTATGTAAATAAAAATATGTAAAAGTTCTGTGTAGACTCTTAAACCCTACCCAACTGTGTGACAGGGAAACTGCAAAAGGACAAGGTGTTTGGAAAGGGGGAGCAGGTTACTGCTGCAGCCACCTGGGGGCTGAGTTCCTGTTGCTGGTCACATGCTTGACTTCCTGTAGTTCTGACAATAGAAACAACCTCCTCACTCTGACCTACAGGCCCTGCAAGATCTGGCTCCTTCCTAACTCACCAGCTTTGCCTTATACATTTTTTTCTTTTTAAAATTGCTATCCATCCCTTAGCTTTTAGCAGATTATCACAACCTTAGGTACCCATTCATGACTCCCTGACAAGGTTAAATTTTTCCTATTGTATGTTCTTATAGAACTATGTTCCTTTCCAAATTTGTAAAGTTTGTTACAATTACAATTTATATTTAAGTGATTTCATATTATTATTTGTCTCCCCTATTTGCCTATTTGAGGAGCAGAGATAAATTTTGTCTAACTCTCTATCCCTGGTTTCTAGCACAATGCCTGGCATATTAAGTGCTAAAAGGATATTTGTTAAATGTGTGACTAAATGTCAGATGAATGAATGATGAACTTGGTCCTTCTAGGATCTGAGAATAACATGGATATATGAGCCCTACCCCAGATTGAAACTTGTCCCAAAGAGCTTTGAAACTTTATTGAGAAGGGGTAGATGATAAAATAAGCGTTGGAACCAGAGAAAGCCAGAATACAAATTTGATGCAAATAACCCTTTACACTCAGAAATTTATTTACCCAAGAGTCATGCGGATCTGTGTATGGCAAGTGGATGTACACAAAAGATCAAATTTAAAAGGGAAAGGAGCTCTCTGGAAAAACCGCTACTCCTACTCCAGGCAAAAAGGTAAAAGTTGCTGAAGATGAAGTTGTATCTGGCAGAGTTGTTTTCTCAGAGAAAAAAAGAAAGGTCAATTTTCTTTTTTTTTTAAGATTTTATTTATTTATTTTTAGAAAGGGAAGGGAGGGAGATAGAGAGAGAGAGAGAAACATCAATGTGCGCTTCCTGGGGGTCATGGCCTACAACCCAGACATGTACCCTGACTGGGAATCCAACCTGTGACACTTTGGTTTGCAGCCCACGCTCAATCCACTGAGCTACGCCAGCCAGGGCGAAAGGTCAATTTTCTAAGGAGGGACTTGGCCTGGAGTATGCTGGCAAACTTGTTTATTCTTGTTGTGTGTGTGTGTGTGCACGCGCGCACATGTGCACGCGCATGTGAGTATTTTTGCTTGAGCCCCAGCTATCTTGCCAGGGCTCTGTCAGAGCTGTTTTATAGGGAAGCTAGACACATCTAAGCACAAGCAATGGGGGACTCTGACCTGAGCTGACAAGGGGCAGCACCCAAGAAGGGAGGGAGGAGTCCCAGTTCTGCAAGCGATCCAGCAGGCATCTGAACTGGGAGAAGGGGACATTGGGGAGCCATCACCCTTAGTTTTTCTCTCCCTTTGTTTGTGGGATTGCCAACAGGGTAGATGGCAACTCTTTTCCATCCAATTAAGGGATAGGGGACAGAAGGTAGTGACAGAGCAGGGTGGATAGTGCAGGGTGGTCTCTGCTGACAGACAGATTCATGTGTAAGCACAAGGAGGGAAACCTGGGGTGGGGTAGTCAAGGCGCCAGGCCTGATGGTGCAGGCACAGGTGTGACAAGCAAAGGTACTCAGGTCATTGTTGGGAAAGAAACCTAATGTATAGCCACAGTCTGATTAGGTCTGCTGACATTTGAGTTGAAAGTTAAGGATTTATAACATGATTTTGTTATGGTAAAAGACATTTATGGAGGCAGTTTTGGGGCACAGCCACTGTGGGATAGCCCATTGGTCTTGGTTTACCCAGGACTTTCCTAGTTTTCACACAAAAAGTGCCAAGTTCTGGGCAAACCAGGATGGCTAATCACCCAACCACACCCACACACTCTCTTTCCTACCTTCATACTGGGCAGGCAGAGCAGACCACTCATAGTCTCATAACAAAGCAAAAATAAGAGTCTGTCTTTGGGATGATAAGGATTTACAAAGCACCAAAGGTTTATTGTGAAACTCCCTATTAAATTGTTCTCCTAATGCTGAAAATGGACACAAGGAAGGCTCCTATCCTAATGTGCTATTTTAGGCCAATAATTCATTTTCATTTGCCAAGGCATATTCTTCTACTTTTCTAGTTATATATACAATGACTATTTACACTAGATTTTTCTATGAGGGGTGCAATTTTATCATATATTTTCCTTAGTAACAAAGAATCAAGTATATAACTAACGTTATGAGTTTAAAAGCATTTTATATAAATTAGTCCTAATCAGAGAAACATGTTTGTTAGAAATTGTGACTTGACTTTTCATTCTGAAATGAAGGACACTGTATCACAAAGATAACCAAACCTTTAACAAACAAGGCAGTTACCACCACCATGCCCAAAATGAGGCAAGCAAATCCAGAGTGAAGAAGGGTAAGGAAGGGAAAGGATTCTGCTGATATTCCTTTACTCCAGAGGTTCCTTGGCAGACATTAGTCCTAGATGAACAGAGTCCTAGATGAACAGGTTCCTAGATCTTGGTATTAGATAGAAGGAGTCATCAGACTCCTCTGCTGGAGCACGATATGGTGGGCTGTAGGACCAGCCACCTGGGGAAAGGGCACATCTTTTCCCAGGCAGGTAGAGCAGATGAGGAGTAACCCACCAAGAGCCAGGAAAATACCAGCAGCCCATCCCAAGTACAGGGCATCTCCAAACTCCCACCGAGGTACAATCTCAGGGATACTGTCATCCCAGAAGTCTTGGATTGTGGTGTAGGCCACCCAGGAGACTGGAAAGAGGGTGGTGGCTGAAGCTGATGCCTCCAAAGTCCCTCCTAGGATGCAAAGCCGCCTCTTAAATACCCATCTGATATTGTAAAACTGGCAGCATTCCAGCCCAAAGCCAGAGAGCAGAAGCCCCAATAATCCCAGCCCATGGGAGGCCACCATGAGGATGCGGGATACCTGGAGTTCCTGGGGCAGAGATAAGAAGGACTCAAAGGACTGGCACACAGTGGCAACTTCCTCCTGATTTACGCAGACCTCCCAAAGGCCCATGATCCAGGTCTCCATTTCATTCAGATCCAGGCTGAAAGTCTTCCACTGAGGCAGGGCAGTGGTGACACAGGAACAGACCCAGCCCAGGAGAGAGAGGAGCAGTCCCCCAAGCTGAGCTTTCCCAAGGACACTCCAGGCCATGGTTGCTCCCACCGCAGAGGCAGAAAGAAAAGGAGGCTAGGTGTCTCAGTGACTGGTTAGCGGGGGAGGACTTTTGGGAGGGATGAGTGGGAGGTCATTCACATCTGGAGAGGGCTTCTATTTCAGTTCCCCAGGCAGCAGCTGAAGCAGGTGCCAGGAGCTCCACAGTGTTTGAGTTTAGGGGCAGTGCCCAAGATCGGATGTGGGTGTGGATTCTGGGGGAGGGTCCCAAGAGAGGCTAAAAAGCCAGACATTGAGATATCAATATATATTTAAAGAGAAAATTCATAAACTTCTGGTTAAAATTACTCCCCAGTTTTGAGATGACAAGTATGAAGTTCTACGAATATGCATTAATGTACACTCTCTGGAGGGCAACATAACTTCATGGTTCATACTGTCAAATACACACATACTTTGACCTGTATGCTACCTCCAGGACTTACCCTAATTTACTGTGAAAATATACAAATATTTATGAAATGTCCACCAAAATATTTTTAATAATTGTACATTTTGTTTAATTCTGGGCAGCAATTTTAAAGTGATATAGAAGCAATTTTAATGACATAAAAAATGTTTTTGATATATTGGTAACTGAGAAAAGCAGGTGACCAAACAGTATATAGAATATAATTTCACTTTCATAAAAAGTGCATTTATTATATGCAAATTTGTGTAGATGTCTACATTTCTGTATATCATATACCACAAATGTGAATATCTATATTTATATCTCTATTTATCATATATCACAAAATGTTAACCCTGGTTACTTTAGTGAAAGAATTATGGATAGTTTTTATTTCCTTATTTGTGTTTGTCTATTTTATAAATTTATCATTTAGCATTTCTATAAGGAGAAAAAATTTAAAAATTCCCCAATCCAAGGAACCCACCCAGACCCAGAAGGTACTGGAAGGGAAGTGCTCCCTCCCTCGTCCCCTGCTGCTGCTGGGACAACACCTGCAAATAGGTGGCAGTCACACCAGCCTCCATACTTACCTGTTGCTGCTGCTAAGAGGCAGGTTCTGACAGGAAAAGAAATAATTGGCATTTACTGTGTGTGGCTAAATGCCAGACTTTGGTTAGATATTTTATCCTTATTTAATTTTCACACCATTATTGTAAGATCCATGTTAGGTAAGTTGACAGGGTTCCCCAACAGATAAGTAACAGACCCAACTCCTGAGCCAGGTGGCTGGGACTGTGACATGTCACATGGTCTTCAGGCTGTAACAGTGATTCCTCCTGCACTGCACCTGCAAGCTGCTGACATAGCATGCTGGTGAGGGTTAATCTTTATGGCAAAACACAGAAGAAAATTGGGATTTATTATATTAAAGATATAAATGTTGATCAATGTATTCCCTTAGTCATATTTCACTTACTGATTACCCTGTGCTACACTAGGAAGTGAAAACAGGAGTGGGACAGTTAGCAAGGAGAAAGCAGCATTCTGATTTATTTGCATGATGTCTCAACACCTAAGCAGTCTGATGAGATTATCAGTGGTGGGAGAATGGAGGGAGGCAAGGAAAATTACCTGGAATGCTCATTTTTCTTTCGTTTTATTACAGGAAAATTTCAAACATATACAAAAGCAGAGCAAATGAAATGGAGAAATATCATGTCCTATCACCCACTTCAGAAATTTTCCACTCATACCAATCTGTTTTTATCCATACTTGCACCCATTCTCTGTCCGTTCCTTCATACTCTTTTGAAGCAAATTGGATGTTCTTCAAATCATTGGGTCCTTCTAATGCTCTTATAACAACAACAGGTTCTAATTAACACAATGGCAACATGCACATCCTTGGAACCACTGTCAGCTGGTGCTATACACCCATCCAGATTTGTGTTTGATACTTTCTCCCAAAAGCAGCCATGCTTCATGTGTGGGAGTCATAATAAGTCAGCAGAAATCCTTTCAGATGTTGCTCTTTATTTCCTTGACTTTTTTTTAAGAGCCCTTTCTTGATGATTTGTGAAGATCTCTGAGTTGGGAGACACATAAACTCAGGTTAGTGAGGAAAAACAGAACCTATTTGCCTATTAATTTTTTAATTTATTCACATATCCATTCATACCTGCATGCATTGAGTGTGTGTAGCAATCTCACTTCATTCCACATGCCCTTCCTTCCCTTGCCTTAGCCTAACTCTGGCTCTTCCCTGCCTTCTCCTGGAACCCTGAGGAATGGTCCTTAGTTTATCCAGTGGCCCAGGGAGAGGAGGAGCTTCTGTAGTTGTGCTTGTGGTTACCAGTGGATCTGTTTCCTAGAGGAAGATCCCAGAACCTCAACCTCATAGTGACACCTTCTTCCACGCTCAGTTCAGATTCCTTCCTACTGTGAAACCTGCATGATTTAATCAGAGACTGGAGCTCCTCCTCTGCCCTTTGTACCTTACTCAGTGGTGGATTAAGTTTCAAGGCCTGTTAGTTGTCCTGGTTCAGGTACCTTCCAAGCACTGCACCTAATTTTGTACAATATTTGTTTTTTATATTCTCTTCCTTAAAGACTCATCCTCCTTCCAGCAACTGTATGAGATTTAGGTCCCACAAAATATGGATCCATCTCTCATTTACCTCCAAAATAGTAATGATCATATTTTCTTGGGATTATTTATTTATGTATTTTGGATTCCCAGTCTAGCACAATGTCTGCCATATAGTAGTTGCTCAACAAATATGTAATACATATTTTCAGGAACTTTGTCTTCAGGTCCTTTTTTCTCACTGTGAGAAAGGAAAGTAAGAAGCTAGGAAAATTCCTGGGCAAGTGAAATAGGGAAACTGAGACATGAAAATCAAACAGTATGAGCAATTTACAGCCAACTGGTGAATGGAAAGACCTTATGTCCCCTAACCAAGGACACTTGAAAGCAAATGGTTTATACCTCTCCTCCCTAACCAGAGAATACATAGTTTCATAAGCCATAAACCACAGGTGCCAGGAAAGAGAGGAATGCTACTGCAAACAGAGAAATAACATGGGAACAAAGTGATCCACTGAGCTTGGGAAAAAGAAGCTGCAGGACTCCTTTTTAGCTGCCCCTCCCCTTAATCCCAAGAGAAAGGGCAGGTCTTTGCTCCCCCTAGGATTTTCCCTTCCAGATTCCAACGTTTCCCCTATATAGACTTGCTTCTGAAAGTTCAATGGGAAGGTGGATGTTAGAGTTTTTACTTGCCACCTTCTTAGATTGCTGGCCTCTGATATTAATAAAAGCACAATTATAATCCAATACTTGTCTTTGTTTTTTGACTGAGCAGTGACAGGCAGTCTGAGCCCCAGACTTGGTTTCAACTGGGCATTTATTATTAGTAGTATTTAGAATTCAAAGTGAGACTGTCATGTCTGCCAAATAGAAGTCGATTTGGTTTTCTATGGAGAGGAGATTCCTAGGATGTTATGCCTGTCCTTTGTGCTTCCTGTCTCAACCTCCATTTTATTTCCTTTGCTCATGTCACAGGAAGCTGCCTGTGCCTCATTAGAATAAGCAGATTGTCCCACAGACACTCAAAATTGACAAGGACCTTAGGATCAGCATCTACTTGGGGTCAACCCTCAAAGACAAATTCAAAAAATTAAAGATAACATTTTAATTAAAGCAGTACATAGTTTTTTTGAAGAAAAACAGAAAATTAGAATAACTTGGTATACATCTTTTACTTCTATATGTGTATTTATATTTGCTTTTAAAAAAAGGGAATCATACTGTACATATGTTGTGATCATTTCAGTGTGTGACATTTAAATAATGAGACAATTTTTAAAAGCTTATTATAAAATTGATTTATATTGATCAAAAGTGTTGAGTATCTTGTTCTAGTCCACGCAATGCTGTTATTGGTACCTAGATAATACAAACATACATGAGTTATGTAGATGTAATATATGTATAGTTAGTTATATGTACAAGAATGTAGTATACATGTATATACGTATATACGTAGATGTAATATAACTATGCACTATAAACAGCAAGTATAGGCAGACACTTATAAGGAGGTGACGCCATTTCTTTGAACAACTCTAGAGGGCCCTATTCATTTAGATTTTCATGGTCAATGCAGCCCATTTGAGTAAATATTTAATGAAAAAAGTTCAAGATAGGCGTGTCAGGTCTTCTTGGCTACATACATTTCATAAATAAGCGTTTTGAAATTTAGAAAAGTTCAGTTAGGACTGGTGGGGAAAAAATATTGTCAACCTCTGCTGAAGAAAACGCCTTTGCCAAGTTTGCCAACTATGAGATGCCGTGGAGGTTCCACGCCAGTAGAGTGGCGGTGCCTGCTGGGAGTTGTAGTGCAGCTGTCGCTCTCCGCGTGGCGGTCTGGAGCCCGCGAGACTTCGTTTCCCAGCAGGCCGCGTTCGGAGGCTGCTGGCGGGACTGGAGCTGCCGCGCTGGCTCCCGGAGAGTAAACCTCTGTTCTTTGGTTCCTGTTGTGGCCATGGCTTCGTTCGTGACGGAAATTCTGGCACACTCGGGGAGTCTGGAGAAGGAGGACCTGGGAACTCGGATCAGCCATCTGACTCGGCGGGTGGAGGAGATCAAGGTGCAGGCGGGGCAGCGGTTGGCTGACTAAAATGAGATGCGGGATCCCTGGGGGATCGGACGGGGCGGAGAGGACGCCAGAGCAGAGCAGAGTCAGGTGTGGGCTGGGGAGGAAGAATAAGGGGCGGGAAGCCTGGAAGTCTGTGGTTTGAGGAGGGAGCTCGGAGGGGAGCTTAGATCAGGTCTGGGGACCGAGGAGGCGTGGGACGGTGGAAAGGAAGGGGTGGTGGCTGGGGATTGTTGGGGAGACCTGGCGTAGGGGAAGAGGAGAGAGACTGAGGAGACGCGCAGAGCTGGGAGCTGGGATTGGAAGGTGTCCAGGAAGGGAGTACTTATGAGAGACTGAAATGAGGACAGGGCTCCTCCCCATCCGTGAGGGCTTGTTTCCTGCGCTCATTCCCGTTGTACAATTTGTGGATGAATGTAATAGCTTGGGAG